GCTGGGGCAGAGAGTAATAGTACCATTGCACCGGAGTTTCCGCAGCCAGGACCTGACTGCAGCCGTCCAGACTCTGTGCTCTTCACTCTGTGCTTTAGTATCTCCCGCAGCTAATCTCCTCTCACTGAAAGTTTTCTTCAGAGGAATTTCAGATCAATACTGGAGGCTGGTGGGGTGTAAATGATGAAGGCCTCTAGCCCTGTCCTCTTGAGCTATAGATACAGACACCCACACTGCTGAGGGACATCTCTACGCAGAGACCACACAGGCACATCTCCAACATATCCCAGACTAAGGAACCATCGTCCTCCCCCAAATATGGTCTTGACCCCTGTGTTCTCTAATTTGCTTGGTGGTTTCCCCATGGACTCATTCACCCTAGTTCTTCCCACTCCCTCGCCTCTACGCCAGCCCAATCCCCAAGTCTTACTGGTTTTCCTTCTTAAACTGTTCCAGGATCTGGCTCTCTCCCTCCACCCACTGCCATTGCCTTAGACTGGCCCTGCCTGGCCCACCTCTGGCCCCACCTCTGGCCCCACCAGCACAGACTCATGGATCCGGAAGGCAGAGCTGAGGTTGCCACTTCCCTGCTTCAGGTTGCCTCTGGGATCAGAGGCTCTTGGGAGTCATTTCCAAGGTTCTCTTCTCCCATCACCAGCCTTTTCCACAGCACTGAGCTACCTACGGTTCCCTCACTGATTTCCTGTGCCTGCATGGATAGTGACCTCTTCACTACCCTCACTGTTTGCCTGGCTAATTCTCATATTCTTTGAGACTTTTTGCAGGGTCACTTCCTATGGGAATTCCTCACTGGTTCCCCTCCTTTCTCCCAACCTACCACAGCTCTTTCTAAACGAGGCAGTCACTCCCTCTCCCCTCCCTCCAGCACTGAGTTCCTTGAAAGTAGGACCTATGCTTTATTTACATTTGTTATCTCCAATCACCCTGCTCCAGGCTCTGCAGCACTGGTTCTCAAACTTGATCACGCACACAGAAGCACTTGATGAGACCTTTAAAAATTTAGATTCCCAAGCCTGGACCTCAAGCCCAGCAGGGAGCAGCATTTTTTTTTTTTTTTAAGATTTTATATATTTATTTGACAGAGATCACAAGTAGGCAGAGAGGCAGGCAGAGGGGGAGGGGGAAGCAGGCCCCCTGCTAAGCAGAGAGCCCTATGCGGGGCTAGATCCCAGGACTCTGGGCTCATGACCTGAACGGAAGGCAGAGGCTTAACCCACTGGGCCACCCAGGTGCCCCTGGTGCTGCATTTTTTTTTTTTTTAAGATTTTTATTTATTTATTTGACAGAGAGAGATCACAAGTAGGCAGAGAGACAGGCAGAGAGAGAGGAAGGGAAGCAGGCTTCCTGCTGAGCAGAGAGCCTGATGCGGGACTCGATCCCAGGACCCCGAGATCATGACCTGAGCTGAAGGCAGCGGCTTAAGCCACTGAGCCACCCAGGCGCCCCTGGTGCTGCATTTTTTAATGCGGAATGACCCAGGGTCATTCCGATGCAGGTGGTTCTGAGAAACACTCAGTAGGGAAGCTTGGTGGAGGGCATGGCCTGGAACCACTTACCTTTGCTTTTCTTCCGCCTGAGGTAGAGTATCAGTCCCAAAATAGCAATTATGAGCACAGCAGCAGCCAGCGCCACCCCTACTGCAGCTTCCACACTCAGGACTGAAGACGTTGAACTCTTACTGTCTTCCAAGTCACCAACGCCAGTGGTGGTGGGGCCAGTGGTGGTGGGGGCAGTAGTGGTGGGAGCAGTAGTGGTGGGAGCAGTGGTGGTTGTCTTGAGAGCTGAGAAGACATGAGAATTTAGCAGATTCTCCCCTGGAGGACTGGAGGTTTTTGGATGAAACCATCACATCTTGTTCCCTACTTTGGGGAATACTGGGGTGGGGGGGGGGACCACTCTCTGAAGCTCTCACACAGGGAGCGGGTAATGAATCCACATCACCCAGCTTAGATGCTGACTCTACCTCCCATCAGTGGTGTGACCTCAGAACCTCATTTCATCGCCGACAAATAGGGATCCCTAAATTATAGGAAGGAAAAAACTTTTTCATTGTGGTAAAATATAGGTAACATAAAATTTACTGTTTTAACCATATTTAAGTATATAGTTCAGTGGCATTAAGTACATTCACACTGTTGTGCAACCATCACCACTATCCTTTTCCAGAACTTTTTCGTTTTCTCAGACCGAAACTCTGTCCCCATGAAACACTCACTACGCACTCCCTTCCCCAGCCCCAGGCACCCACTGTTCTGTTCTCTGTCTCTATGAATTTGACTGCTCTAGGAACTTGTTATAAGTAGAACCAAACAGTATTTATCCTTTCTGGATTGTTTTAGTAAGTGATAAAACATCTGTAAAGCACCTAGTATATATTAGAAATATGTTTTTTTTAAAAAGATTTTATTTATTTATTTGACAGAGAGAGAGATCACAGGTAGGCAGAGAAGCAGGCAGAGAGAGAGGGACGCAGGCTCCCTGCTGAGCAGAGAGCCCAATGTGGGGCTCGATCCCAGGGCCCTGAGACCATGACCTGAGCCGAAGGCAGAGGCTTTAACCTACTGAGCCACCCAGGAGCCCCAGAAATATGTTTTTAAGATTAATATATACTGAACTTCTACAAATAGATTGTACCTTTGTAGATGTTTAATGCACTGTTTAAAAACTGACAGAATGCTAAGCTACTGGAAAAAATTCAACGCCAATAAAATCTTTAGGTTAGTATGGACCAAATTTTCTGTCGACCCTCATTGGAAGGGAATAATAAAACCATCCTTTAATTGAGATAAAAATTTTAAACTCATCAACAAATGTGCATAACATGCTATCTAGAAAAATAAAATCCGAAGAATACATATTAAAAAAAAAATACCTCCTAGAATGTGACTAAAGCCATACTCTAAGCCAAATTCATAGTATTAAGTGCTTTTATTATTTAAAACCAGAAGAAATTTGAAAAATGAACAGAAGAAGTACCAAAACCAGAAAGAAGCCAGCCCTAAGAAAACTCAGAGAGAAACAAGTAATGAAAGCTATGTAGGAATAAATTTATTAGGAATCAGGACAATAGAAATAAATGCAGGAAGTGGCTATTTAGGGGAAAAACAAACAAGAAACAAAGAAGAAAATAGATAAGACTCTTGCAAACCTAACAAGAGTCTGCTGAAATCATTTGTGATTGCATATGCTCAATTATAGGTTGATAAATTTTAAAAACTCTGAATTGGATGATTTTCTGAAATAAAAACTTTGGAAAATGGAGCTAAGTCGTACAATTTCAGTGAGAGGTAAACCAAGGAGTAAGAACTTTAGGGGTGCGTGGCTGGCTTGATCAAAAGAGCATGATACTCTTGGTTTGAGCCCCACAGCCAGGGTAGATTTTACTTAAAAAAAAAAAAAAAAAAAAAAAAAGCTTGAAAAAAAAAAAAACAGGGAATTCTATTAAAGAACTACCCATCATAAGGATTCCAAGCTCAGGAGGTTTTATGTGTAAATTCTTGTGAAAATTTAAGGAACAAATAATTCCCAAATAGATTCTAGAACACAGAGAAATACAGAAAATGATGCAATTCTAATTCATTTCATAAAACGATAACCCTGACATTACTATCCACTCATAATTTCTTTTTTTAAAAATGCAGGTTAAAACAATAAAGGCCTATGTTTCTTACCAATCTGAGTGGAGGAAAATACCCAGGACTACCACAATGGGAGCTTAGGTTGGCACAACCTTTGGGAACACATTTGCAAAATGTAACCTACCTGGGCATGCCCTTTGACCCAATTATTTCAGGGCTAGAAATTGATCCTGTGGAAATGCTGAGCAAGGGTTAGAAGGCCTGTGATTAGAGGTGTTCTTTGCAACTTTGTTTGTGATGTGGCAGCAATTTAAATGTCTTTAAGCAGAAGACTGAGGAAGTAGATTGCGAGACATTGCTGCAGGGGTCCACCCTGCAACCTTAAAAAAGGCAGAGCTGTGGGGCGCCTGGGTGGCTCAGTGTTTTAAAGCCTCTGCCTTCGGCTTGGGTCATAATCCCGGGGTCCTGGGATCGAGCCCTGCATCAGGCTCTCTGCTCGGTGGGGAGCCTGCTTCCGCCTCCCCGTCTGCCTGCCTCTCAGCCTACTTGTGACCTCCCCGTCTGCCTGCCTCTCAGCCTACTTGTGATCTCTGTCTGTGAAATAAATAAATAAAATATATATATAAAAAAAGGCAGAGCTGAGTATGTGCTGAAATGGAAAAATACTTTGTTGTATGGGGACATGGAAACAAGTCATAGAGCAGAATAGCATACAGTTTGATTCTATCTGGGTTATGTATATCTATATCTGCAAGAGAGAACATTTCTCAGAAAGAAGTGGTTGGGAGATAAAGTGCAGAGGAAGGAAGGTACTTGTCATTGGACTCGGTTCGGTATTGTTTGACCTTTATTTTTTTTTAAATGATGTGCAAGTATTATCAGTACCTTTATTATTTTCAAAATTTAACATTTATCAAACTTCTATAGGCACATAATTTATTTTTAAATATTTTTTTAAAGATTTTATTTATTTGACAGAGATTACAAGTAGGCAGAGAGGCAGGCAGAGAGAGGAGGAAGCAGGCTCCCCGCTGAGCAGAGAGCCCGATACAGGGCTCGATCCCAGGACCCTGGGATCACGACCTGAGCGGAAGGCAGAGGCTTTAACCCACTGAGCCACCCATGCGCTCCGGTACATAATTTATTTTTAAAAAGATTTATTTATTTGAGAAGGAGAGTACGGGGGCAGGTGGGGCGGAGGAAGAGGGAGAGAGAATCCCAAGCAGATTCCCTTCTGAGTGCGGAGCAGGACAGGAGCTCGGTCTCAGGATCCTGAGATCAGGGCCTGAGCCAAAACCAAGAGTCAGTTGCTTAACCAATTGCACCCCCCAGCGCCCCAAAAGGCACATAAATTTGGAGTCCACAAATTCCATACAGTGTATAAAAACAGTAGCCCCTGCATAAGCCCACCGTTAGCTATTTCTTCTGACATTAGCCTTGTTTTTCTAAATCACATGCACATACTGCTGTTTCTTGACTTAAGTCGTATTTATTTACTTCCTACCGTTGAAACTGAGGATTTAGATCCCTCACACCCCCACTTTCACCATCTTACTCGACCCTCCAGCATTCAACGTTCTTTTCATGACAAGCATTCTTCACCTGGCTCCTGGGACACTGTTCTCTCTTTGTTCTTTTCCCACGTCCTTAGTAGCTCCTTCTGTCTTCTTGTTGATTTCTCCTTTTCCCAACCCGAAACAGTCATGGGACCTCCTTAGTTCAGTCCTAGGACCCCCTCTCTATCTACACGCTCTTCCCAGATAATTTATCCAGTCCCATGGCATTAACTAGCAGCAACATGATAATCCTGCCCAAAGTTACGTACCCAGCCACCTCTCTCCCCACATTGCCAACTCCTAAATCTCACACCTCCTCACACCTCCATTTGTTTGTCTTGTAATGTCTCAAATTTCAGTTGTCCTTAACTCTTGATCTCCTCCCAAGCCTGTTCCTCCCCCAGGTCCCCATCTGGGTAAATAGCAGGTCCATCCCTCAAGACGCTCAGGCCCAAAGCCTTAGAGTCACTCTTGCTTCTTCTCTTTCTTACCCCCACATCCCATCATCTGCACATTCTGCCTGCTCAGTCTTCCAAATATAGACAGCATCTCCCCTGCCCTCGTTGTCACCCTATTCAAGGCATCTCACCTCTCACTGGTGTTCCTGCCGGTGACCTTGCTCGTCTTTACAGTCTGATTCTCCACACAACAGCTGGAGGGACACTCAGAACACATCAGTGCACATCAGGACATAGCAGGAAACCCTCACTAGATTCATTGTGAGAGTGAAAGTTCTTTTCTTGGTTTTCAGAGCCACACGGGATCTGCCCCCGCTGCCTGTTCTGATCTCACCTCCTGTACCATCCGCTTCTTCATGTGTTTCAGCTGTACACGTCCCACCTCATGGCCTCTGCCCCACCGATCCCTCTTGACTGGAACATTCCTTCACTTCCTACAGATCTGTGCCTGGGCTGGATTTTTCTGCTGGCTTCTCTTAGATCCACTCCCTGACTCTTCTCCACCTGCTTTGTTCCTTTGGAGGTTGGTTTTGGTGGGCTCTCACGCACTGGTTCCTATTCAGTAGCCACTGGAAGTCACCATCAGGGGATAGAGGGAGAGGGGCTCCTGGATGGCTCAGTCGGTTAAGTGTCTGCCTTCAGCTCGGGTCATGATCCCGGAGTCCTGGGACAGAGCCTCACATCGGGCTCTCTGTTCAGCACGGGAGCCTGCTTCCCCTCTCCCTCTGCCCCTCCCTGCACCACCTCCCACCTCCACTCATGCTCTCAATCTTGCTCTCTCTCTCAAATAAGTAAATAAATAAAATCTTAAAAAAAGAGAGACGGAGAGAGGAGGTAAGTCGTGGCAAAACTGTTGGCCCCCTCCTCACTGGATCTTGTATTAATCTGGGGTTTCAGAGACATAAAACCAATGGGGTATAGAAAGAGATGTAGAGTTTTGAGGAACGGGTTCATGTGATTATGACAGCTGAGAAGCCATTGTGTCTGCAAACAGGAGTCCCAGAAAAGCTGGGGGTGTGGTTCCAGGCCAGACCTATAGGTTTGAGAACCAAGGAAACCATTTATATAATTCCCAGTGTGATTCTAAAATCCCAAGAACCAAGAGCTCTGCCTGAGGACAGAAGAAGTGGTGGTCCCTGCCCATCCTCTACTTTTTTGTTCTTTTCAGCCCCTCAAGGGTTTGGATGATGCCCACCCACTGCTAAACTCTTCTGGAAATGCCATCATAGACATATCCAGAAAGAATGTCTTACCATCTCTCTCGGCATCCCTCAGCCCAGCCAAGTTGACGCCTAAAACTAACCATCCCAGACATGTTGACTCTTTCTCCCCAGAAGCTACAGCCCCTCTCTGGTCCCAGTACCTTCTCTCTACCTGGCTCCTCCATCCTGGAGATGGTTGCAGGTGTGTCCCATCCCTGACTGGTTTCCCTACCCTGTGCTCTACTCAAACCTCTTCTCAGTCACCCTGTTACAATGGCTGCTTTCTCCTGGCTCCCTCGGGCCTTTCCTGTTCCAGCTGAATAGGGTAACACCCCTAGCAACATTTATCCCCCAGATTCTGCTCCGTTTCCCTGCTTTTCTCTTTTCACCACCATTCAACACACAGAATTAATGTGTTGGATTTCTCTTCAGCCTTCTTTCCATACTTATGTGCAAGAGGCATTGTTGTGGATATGTTTAGCCTTTTTTTTTCTTTCTTTCCTGCTGTTTCCCTAATGTCTGTATTAGCACCTTACACACAGTAGGCATTCAATAAATATTTGTTGAATGAATGAATGAATGTAAGAATATTCTCTTAGAATTTCAAAGCATTCAACTATTGTCTTCCAGCTTCCTCTGTTGCTATGGAGACCGCCAGAGCCTTGGCGATCCCCAAATTTCCTGTGGCCTGTTTTTTCCTCCTTGGAAGTTTTTTGCATCATCTTTTGGTCCCTGACATTCTGAAATTTCATGTTGCAGTGTCTCAAGGTCCATCTTTTTATTTTTACCCATTACTCTGGGCTCCTTTGTTCTGGAAAATTTAGAGAGTTATTTGGTCGATATTTTCTTCCAACTACCTTCTCTCTTCTCTGTCTCTGGAACTCCCATAATTCAGAGGCTGGAGTTCCCGGACCAATCCTCAATTTTTCCTCTTTGTGACTTTCCTATGGCTGTTGTAAGAAATGACCACAAACTGCGTGACTTAAAACAACAGAAGTTTAGTTTCTCTCAGTCCTGAAGGCCAGAAGTCAGAGAGCAAGGTGTTACTAGGGCCTCACAACCTCGGGAGGCTCTAGGGGAGACTCTGTTCCCTACTTCCGCCAGCTTCCAGACTGCACCACTGAGTCTCCGCTCTGTGGCCACACTGCCTTCTCTTCTGTGACAACTGAGTCACATCTGTTACCATGTAAGGTAACAGCCCGGGTTCTGGGGGCTGGGATGTGGAAACGTCTTTGTGGGGCCTGCTATCCAACCCGCCACAGTTTCCAGATCCATGAGTCTTTGTCAGCCTTCTGAGGTGTATCTGTCAAGTTGATCTCGCAATCCTTTTACTGGGTTTTCCATTTTTGCCATCATAGCTTAAGTTCCTAAGAGCTCCTAGTCTGTTTGGAAAGCTCCTTCTGTTGCTCCATGCTTGTGTTCTCAACTTTCTGAAAATGGTGGTTATCTGAGTTTTATTCTCCCTCCATTGTTCTGGTGCCTTCCAGCTACTCCCCTTTGCTCCCCACCACCCCATTTGTTTTGCTGCATGTTTCACGGGGAAGGATTCCTTAAGTGTCTAATGTAGTCATAGTTTTAAATGGTGTCTCTAGGTGCAGCAGAGGTGAGAGGTCAATCCTCAGGGTTGGAGGATTCCCGGAGAGGCCAAGACCCCATGTCCTGGTCCCCTTGGAGGCCAATGTGCAGAAGCCACACTGACTAGAGGCGGTTTGTGTGGTCTGGGAGAAAGTGCTTGTCCGCTACTGGGCTATAGGATCTGTTAGGATTTCTGGATCCTTTGGGGTTTCCATCAGATAGATTTCCCAGAGAAGAATCTCCTGATTTCTTGCCCTTTAGCGGGATGGGGGATACCAGCTGGGTTGCCTGAGAACTGGGAGGCATCTAAGGGGGCTGGGCGTTTAGGGTCTCATCAGTTCACCAAATCTCCAGTTTTAAGGACTGATCCCTTGCCCCCAGTATGCCTGGGGTACTGCCCCCAACGTCCCTCTGGTCCATCCTTTCTGGAAAGCAAATCTCCATTCTCTGCTGGGTGGGGAGGGGGCATAGAGGTTTCCCAGCTTCTTAAATAGATTCTCACCCAATCCTCCAGCTTCCTGATGCCCTTTCCCTCCCACTGTCAGGCGTTCTGGGGTTGCCCTTGCTGAACTGTCAAGGGGTTTTTGTAGTTAAAAAACTGCTTTTCTTCTGGGTCTCCTCACTGCTGGTTTAGGGCTAAGTTCCCCTGGTCTCCTAGGCCAGGTACATTAGTCTACATGTTTCCAGCTTCCCAAATACTGTTTTTGACCACATGACTCACATACTTTTTTGTCCTTGTGGATTTTGTCTTAAAAATTTCCCTTTGATATCATTTTAGTAGAGTTTTGTAGGGAGGAGAGGTAAACATGCCTATAACCCAGCGTTTGGCCAAAATTTATGCAATATTTTCTAGTGAAAATTATAGAAAATGAACATTCAAAAAATAATGTTGCATATTAAAAAAATAGAGAATTTAGAGGAAAGCGTCTTGTGAGATATTTACATGGTCTGTGGAAGAACACTGTGGAGGTTCCTGAGGGATATAAAATAGCGGCCATTCTGGTGGGAAGATTGGACTCACACTGATTTCCGTTTCTGTCAATTGCCTTATAGGTTTAATGCAATTCTGGTTTTAAAAATACCTCTAAGTGTTTTCTTCAGAACTTGGTGAGCTTATTCTAATATTTATGTGTAACAATAGACCAAAACAATAGTAAGGTTTTTAGGGAACTAACGTGGTTCTGATGAACATAGACTTATCAGCCACTGAACCGTGAAAGTTACAATCCCTAGAACTGAGGTACCGACAAGAGAAAAGACAGGGAAATGGAGTTGACAGACCAGAAGTGGGTGCTATCCTACAAAAAGGCCAGGCCTATGAGTCAATGGAGAAGAGAAAAAAAGATTCCATAGATCTAGCTGGGATGATTGATTTGTTTCTTGCTATGAAAATCAATTTAGTTCTTTACCTCACACCATATACCAAAAGAAATCCTCACTAGATCAGTGAGTTTTACTGCCAAAAGAAAGCATACAAAAATCAGAAGAAAATAAAATATTTTCAGCCCCTAGTGGAATACCGGATCTGGGGCTAAGACATAAAAAGAGGAATTTACAGAGGAGAATACAGTGATATTTGGATACAAAAAGAAAACATCTGTATGTAAAAAGCATGATTAAGCCAACCACAGATTTCTCAGTTCTACTTGCTGCACCCTTAGGGTGATGTTTTTGTGTGGTGATACTTCACTTAGGTAAAAACTTTTCTTTTTATTACTTCTCTGTATTTTAAAAATTATGAGCATGAATATCCAATTAATTGTACTAAATGAAAAAATTAATTTATTGCTGAAGAACTCATAGCGAATGTGACTGAAACTGAGAAATGAGAAAAGTTAGAAGAATTAAGGAAGGAAGAGGAGGAGGGGTCTGAGAAGAGCCAAAATCTCCCCAAAATGGCCACTTAAGGGAAGATGTAGGAGGTGCCCGAAATATAAACCCAAGCCTGTCTGGCCTAATTCAGTCGTGAGCCATGTTCTATTTACTCTAAAACCAGCCCGGTGATCCTATGGGGCAGTGGTTATCAGGGCTGGGGACACAGACGGTGACCTTCCCACCAGGAGCGGTGATGTGTAGTTTGGAACTGCCAGCGCGAGTAGCTGTAAAAAGTAAACCTATGGTTTTTTGTTTTTAAGGAAGTCTACAGACAGCGCACCCCCCAGTGCCAGCTCCTGGGAGAGATGCCCTCCACCCCACTGTGGGGACAAACCCAGGTTCAAGTTCCCATGGGCTGCTGAGTTACATGGGAGGATGCAGTAGTGTAGCACATCCATTATTCATGAAAAATAGGTCAAGACAATGATAGCCTCAGGTCAGCTGGTGAGGCTGAGCAGTTACTGGTTAAGAGTGGAGGCTCCGGGGTTAAGCTGAGTTCAAGTCCCACCTGCACTAAGATGGTGGCTTTGGGCAGGTTCTTGGGCTGTTCGAGCCTCAGTGTCCCTATCTGTGGCAACAAGATGACGGCAGTACCTGCTGTTACTGTAGGGCCACGGGGCAGGTTAACCATGGAGACGCATACCAAGCTGTTCAACCCACAGGGGACAGTGAGTGCCCACAGTGAGCGGCTGTACTTCTGCTGCAGCCGTGCCTCTCAAAGGCCAGTACGGAGGGGATGAGATTGGGGTGAGATCAATGGGGACAATGGGGACAGTACAGGCAGAGGCGGGGACTAGAGGAAAGGAGGGGAAAGAGGATGGAGGCAGGGGAAGAGGGAGATGGAAAAGGAGAGGAGGGATGGGGCTGGGCGGGGAGCACTGTGGTCTGGGTTCTGAAGAGCAGAGCAGGAGAAGGAAGTGGGGGGATCGGGGAAAACAGGTCATGGGGCGTTGCCAGGGGGCCAGGCTCTCGGGTGGGTCATCTTTGGGTACCTGCTGGGTGCGCTGGGCTGAGCCTATGGCTGGGGAGACTCAAGACTGGGGCTGGCTGGGGCTGCACACGTGGACGCATGACAAAGGGAAGGCAGCTCACATCCTAGAGGGCAAGGAGGCAGGCTGGAGCCCCAGCTTAGGGCAACAAGGGAGGATAACTTGGGAGCCCAGAAGGTGCTGAGGCTGGGGGAGTGGGGCCTGGATCTGGAGGGAGCAGTGAGGGGGTGGCAAGGAGGGCAGCCCAGGCCTGGGGAGATGGCAGAGAAAGAGTAAAGTCGTCAGAGGGCTGGGGAGGAGGTGGTGTGGGGAGAGGAGTTTGAGAGAAGGGCACACAGGAAGAGTGGGGCCTGGGCCAGACCTGGGAAATGAGGGGACCATGGCCCTTAGGAGCCTCAGGGTGAGAGTGGTGGCTGCCAGGGCAGCTGGACTCACCGGGGGTGATGGTGAGTTTGGTCCCTTCGAGGGCCTGCCACACCTTCTTGCCGCATCTTAATGTTTCCACTTGGATCCGGCAAAAGTATATATTCTCATCCTTCTCCTGCAGGTTCGATATCTGCAGGGAGCCAGTCCTCTGACCCACTGGCAATTCAAGGGAGATCCGGTTCTTGTAGTCCTTATGGATGAAAGTCTGAGTGCTGTTGTAGATGAACTGCCCATGGAAGTGTGTCCGTTTGAAGGCTACACTCACTCTGGGATCCTTGGCTAACTCCCAGTCGTGATAGAAGGAGAAAGGGATGCGGACGGAGCCACCCTTGGGGGCTGAGAGGCGGTCTGGTTGCTTGATTCCATAGTTAGTACTTGGATCACATTCTGCTGAGCTACCTGCAGGAGCAGGGAGAGGAGAGACTTTGAAGCCACGGGGAGAGATGAAGAAGATAACCCCAGCCCTTCTGACACCCTCCCCAACGGGCAGTAGTGGGACAGATGGTAGGACTGGCTCCCTGGCCTGGGTGTTCCCCGCGCCCCGCATGGGGTAGGGAGGAGGGTGAAGGCCTGGGGCTGACCAGCACTGTGGGACCAGCCTGTCTCTTGCTGGGGCTGGGAGGCCTGGCCAGCTCCCCCAGCAGACCCCCTCTCCAGCTGCCCAGCCACAGCCCTTGCTGGGGACTCGCTGGGCCTCGGGGCAGAGCCAGGGTGTCCCGGACACTCACCAGCCTGCAGACATGACAGCAGCAGCAGCAGAGACAGCAGCAGAAAGAGACCCATTGCCTCACTCTCCTCCCCGGGGAGGAGGCGACAGCAGCTCCGTCAAGGCCAGAGGGGAGGTCCTAGGAGGTGCCTCCTTGGGGAGACGGGAGACACCCGGAGAGCGTGGATCAGGCCCCTTCAGAAGAGCAAGGGAGGGTGAGAGCCTTCCCCAAACTCACCCGTCCCCAGAATGACCAGCACTTCCTTTATCAATCTGGTTTCTTCTTTTCCTATATTGCAAAAGTGCTTCCTTGTGGTCAGAGCCCAGAGAGCCATGACAGAGGACCCCAGCCTTTATCTTCATGCTGAGGGCCATGGTTCTGACCTTGGCCATGTGTGGCCTCTCCTCTTCTGCCTCCACTCCTGGCCCCTGCCAGCACCTCTACCTCTCCTTAGGAGTCAATGTCTGTCTCTCTAGCTCTCCTTTTCATTGGACATACATTGGCTAAGTGTCACTTGGCCTCTGTCTGTCCTTCCAGGTGAAGGGGTGCCAGCAGGACCAGCTCCAGGTCTGCCAGCCAGAGGACAGGCAGCCAGGAGTGTCTGAGAAGAGAGAAGGAGGAGGGCACCACTGGTGGTCAGATGCCCTTGACCTCCGGCCCCAGCACCAGGAACACCCAGCTTGCTCTTTGTCCCTCTCCTTCCTGGCAGGGCCTCCCCTTCTGCCCCTCCCCTGCTGTCCTGTGCAGGACCCAAGTCTACCAGGCCCCTTCCCTGCCCTGATCAGGTCCTTTTGTGCAGTCTCACACCCTCCCTATGGTTAAGAGGCGAGGGTGGACCTTCTGGAGGCCATTCCTTGACCCCCCAGGATGCAAGACCATATCTGTAGGTCCTTCTGTTCTCCACTCTAGGTGAGGAGACCAAGGCTCAGAGGAGACCTGCCCTAGGTTGCATGACTCTCAGGTAGGAGGCCCAGAACTCAAACTCTAGTCTTGTTGAGTCCTGAGAGCATTCTTCTCTTTCTGGATGCTTCTGTCTTGTTGTCCCACACAGCCTCTGGGCCTTAGCTCCTGAGAGCAGAGTTCTGGAGGGTGACTCTCTGGAGGCTTTGTTTTTCTAATGCTCCTTGTGTGATTCCCTCCACAGCTGGGAGAGTCCTGACTCATCCATAGCCTTTCCCGACCAGGGGAGTTCAAGGCCCAGAGCAGTAAGGAGTTGCACTGTGACAGTCTCTGGACAGTCTTCAATGGAGGGCACTGCCAGCTTGTGACTGGTGGTGGGTGGGGGGAGAGACTGGGGCTGGGACCTCTGGTGACTCATTGGGCAGGTTTTAGGAGGCTCTGCTCCCTCCCTCCCCCAGATGAGGTTGGCATTGGCTTACTGAGTAGATGGTGATAGTGGGAGAGCATGATTTCATCACAGGAAGTGGTCTTGTCTTCTGGAGATAGAAGCAAGCAGACGGACTTCCTTTCTCCTTTTCTGTTTCTTCCCCAGATCTCATAGTTTTTTTCCACTCTTCTCCCAGGGCCAGCCAGTCAGCCCCTGCCCTTTCCCCATGTCTGCAATTCTTACATTTCCTGCCAGGCCTGAGAAGAGAAATTCTGCATTTTCATGGAATGGCTTTCTCTGAGCCACGCCCTAAACACCCATTTCCTCATTTTCAGCTTTAAAATATTGTGTGGTGAATGTATTTTCACCAATAGGAAATTGAGGCACCATCAAGAAACTGAACCTTAATGTCATGGAGTCCTCTGGGCTGTGGAAGGTGGTTGGGCAAATGGTAACAGGTGGAAAAGTGGACAGAAGAGAGGACAAGGGACTGACTGCCTTTTTGGCAGCTCTTCTAGAGGGTGGCCTGGTCTGTCTGACACCTGAGTTCCATTTCCACCTTGTCTCACTAGCTGTGGGACCTGGCTGGACAGTCTCCTTTTTGCCTGGACACCCAAGAAGGGGGCTAGACCCCACTAGTGGGTGCCCCAGTCCATTCTGTTGGGCAACATGGCATGTTTACTAAATATGCATGTTTACTAGCTAAACTTTGGCAGAGTATCTGCTGTCCAGGTGCCTCGGGTCCCATTGTTCCCATATATGGTATCCCTATATGCAAGCTGCACATTTCATGTCCTGTTCAGGCGCCTGGGCCCAGCTAGATCCCCATGATGACTGGAATTGTGAGGCACGACTTCTGCTCACAGACACTGTGTGGTTTCTGGGTTTGTTCATCCTCCCTTCTCTCAACCTCAATGAGAGTGTCCAGTAATCAGTCCTGAATTGTGGCTCTCACAGAGGGGGTTTCTGGTGGGAGGAGGGCCTGGAACTTTGTGATTCATAGATGGGAAGAGCCTAAATGCAACTCTTTAGCTCAGATGGTGGCCAGAGGGGAGGGGTCAGAAGCCATGTGATGAGGAGAGAGAGAAAGAGAGACAGAGAGAGAGAGTGTGAGGGCTATGAGCTGTGGACCACATTTTGAGAATTCTACCTTAGATATTCTCCCAAGTTCTCCTAAGTTTTTGTTCTCCGGTTCTCATTGGCCGCATCCATCACTTCCCCTTCCCCCTCCACAGTACCTCACCCTGCTCCTGCTTTCCCCTCAAGGCCAGGAGTAAAACAAGATGTAAGCTCTCACTACCTCCACTAATTGTGATGGAGGTTCTAGCCCATGCAATAAACCAAGACAAAGAAATAAAAAAATGCTCTGTATTTTCCTAGATTCTGTGTTTATGTAATTTGGCATTTATTCATCACAGGGCAATTGTAGTAACTATTTTTTTTAAAGATTTTATTTATTTATTTGACAGACAGAGATCACAAGTAGGCAGAGAGACAGGCAGAGAGAGAGAGGGAAGCAGGCTCCCCGCCGAGCAAAGAGCCTGATGTGGGGCTCAATCCCAGAACCCTGGGATCATGACCTGAGCCGAAGGCAGAGGCTTTAACCCACTGAGCCACCCAGGTGCCCCTTGTATTAACTATTTTTAAAAAATTTTCTGCATCCTTGGTGCTCTGGTACCTGTGGCCTTGCTGACTGGGGAAAGATGGTCCCTCCCAAAACTAGCCTATTCTTAGATGGAGCAAAGGGCATTCCTAGGAACATGCCTTTCATGTGCAAACTAATGAATCCAGGACCCATCTTCCAAACCACCTCCTTTATCTAACTCTCACCCACCAAGCCAATATTTCCTCTGCCCTAAGTCAGTCCTGTGTCAGGTGCCAGAGAACTAGAGATAGTTGTAACCTGTAACCCAAAGCCCACTGGAATTAATTAAACTAGCCAACCCTAAACTGTTTCCCCTTCCTTGCTTATCTTGCCAGGGGAAAACACACAAAAGGTTTTGGTCATTTCCTTCCCCTTGGTCTTGCCTCTGCCTCCTCTAGTGCTTCCCCAGGTGGCCCTCTTTGGCATGGCATTTTCGTTCTCTGCAGGAAATGTAAGTTCTAAAAACCTTCTTTCAGTATCACTACCCTCTCTGTGTCATCACTCAGTCACCTGTACAAAATAAAATCCTGTGAGTATAAGAATTGAGACAAAAGACATCCAGATTGGAAGGAAAGAAGGAAAAACTGTTTATTAACAGGTGACTTGATGGTTTATGTAGAAGATCCAATGGAATTGACCAAAAAAAGCCACTACAGCTGTAAGTGATTTAAACTAGGTCACAGGGGGCAGCTAGGTGGCTCAGTGAGTTAAAGCCTCTACCTTTGGCTCAGGTCATGATCCCAGGGTTCTGGGATTGAGCCCCACATCGGGCTCTCTGCTCAGTAGGGAGCCTGCTTCCTCCTCTCTCTCTCTGCCTGCCTCTCTGCCTACTTGTGATCTCTGCCTGTCAAATAAATAAATAAAATCTTAAAAAAAAAAAAAAGAGTCTCATATGCTTTGTCTGCCTCACTGATTTCATCTTAAAAATAAATAAATAAATAAACTAGGTCACAAGATACAAAAGCAATACACAAAAATCAATTGTTTTTCTTTTAAAAAAACATTTTATTTATTTATTTGAGAGAGAGAGACACACACACAGAGTACACAAGTGGGTTTGGGACAGAGGGAGAGGAAGAAGGAGCAGCAGACTTCCTACAGAGCAAGGAGCCCAATGTGGGGCTTGATGCCAAGACCCTGAGATCATGACCTGCGTTGAAGGCAGATGTTTAACTAACTGAGACACTCAGGCATCCCTCAAGTGTTTTTCTATATACTAATGACAAAAAATGGAAGTCAAATGAAAATAATACCACTTATAATAGCTTCAAAATATGAAATACTTAGAACTAAGTACCACAGAAGATGTGTAAGATCTGAACACAAAAACTATAAAACATTGCTGAGAGAAATTAAAGATTAATGAATGGAGATTTCATACCTAAGTATGAACAGTATTCAATGCTGTTCAGATGTCAATTCTCCCCCCATTCATACATACATAGAACACAATCCCAGCCAAATCTCAGTAGGCTCTTTTGTGGAAATTGAATAGCCAATTCTAAAATTCCTATAGAAATTCAAAGTACTTAGAATGGCTAAAAACTGAAAATGAAGAACAAAGTTTACGCTATCTGACTTTAAGACTTACTATAAAGCCACTGTCATCAAAATGTATTTGTGTCAAGACAGAGAAATAGATCAATGGAACAGCACGGAGTAAAGAAAGAGATCCACAATTCTGGGGTCAGTTTATTTCTAACAAGATGCAAATGCAATTCAGTGGAGAAATTACAGTCTTTTGAAAAACTGGAAATTTATATTTAAAAATGAACTTCAGGGGCGCCTGGGTGGCTCAGTGGGTTAAGCCTCTGTCTTCGGGTCAGGTCATGATCTCAGGGTCCTGGAATTGAGACTCGCATCGGACTCTCTGCTCCGCAGGGAGCCTGCTTCCATCTCTCTCTGCCTGCCTCTCTGCCTACTTGTGATCTCTCTCTGTCAAATAAATAAACAAAATCTTTTAAAAAAATGAACATCAATTCATATTTTGCACTATCTACAAAAATTAATTCAAAATGAATCATCAGCCTAAATGTAAGTTCTAAAATTATTTAAGTCAAGAAAAAAAAAAACAGGAGAAAATCTTTGTGACTTTGGGTTAGGCGTAGATTTCTTAGATTCAACACCAAAAGTATTAAAGAAAATATTGACAAATTGGAGCCCCTCAAAATGAACTCTGTTCTTCAAAAGATGCCGTCAAGAAAATGTAAGGAGACACTACAGACTGGGAGACAATATTGGCAACTCACATAACTCACCAAGGATCTGTATCCCAAATATACAAAGAACCCTCAAAATTTGTGAAAAAAATCCCAATTGAAAACATGAGCTAAAGATTTGAAGAGACACTTTGTCAAA